CCAAGAGTTTGAGGTTGCTGTGAGCTATAACACCCTGGCACTCAACCCCAGGATGACTGAGTGAGACTTTCTCAAAAAAAAAAAAAAAAGGAATATCACTCACAGAAGAGCAGATCGAGAACAATCTGACATCAAGGAGAAATGTCAACATGTTTCTTTACTGTTCTCCCATCCCCTGGATTCAGGTCTGAGACAATCCCGGAACAACAGAACAATTATATCACAGGATTGGAAGACCCTTAAAGTCTTTTCATCCAAGCCCTCACTGATGTGATTCTTTCCTTTCATGTTCCTGGTGAGAAATTATTCTTCCACTTGAATGCCTCTGGTCATGGGGAACTCACCTCCACCAGAACATTTCGAATGTCCCACTTATTGATTTCTCCAATGACTAGAAGGGTCTTCCGGACCTAAGAGCTTAAAGTTGGGGATACGTAACTTTCACTCACTGTTCCTAGTTTTTATTTTTTTACTTATTTTTTTTTTTCTGAGATAGAGCCTCTAGCTGTCGCCCTGGATAGAGTGCTGTGGTGTCTCAGCTCACAGCAACCTCCAACTCCTGGGCTCAAGTGATTCTCCTGCCTCCACCTCCCAAGTAGCTGGGACTACAGGCGCCACCATAACGCCGGCTATTTTTTGGTTGCAGTTGTCATTGTTTGGCAACCCGGCTGGATTCGAACCTGCCAGCTCATGTGTATGTGGCTGGCGCCTTAGCATCTTGAGCCACAGGCATCGCCGAGCCTCCTAGTTTTACCCTCTGGATTCACATGCAAAAATAAGGGGGGGGGGGGGGGGAGGACAAAAGTTGAATCCCTCTTCCCTGAGACAGCCTTCTCTTTTCCATGATGATGTGGGGTTTTTTATGCACCCTCACCGACCTGCCAACTGCTTTCTGGACAAGATCCTGTGTGGCAATAACATCTTCAAAATGTGGTTCCCATACTGAGGAATGTAAAATCTCTGCCAGGGGTGTTACCAAAGTGAAAATGAAAACACACCCATGTGCACACACAGGCGTGTAGAAATAAAACTCCTCTGACTGTATTCTCCTCCATTGCACATTTCATAGCATATTGCCAAATGCCTTGTTGAAATTCACACATTACATCCATGGCAAGTTATTGCCTCTACCTGGAAAAAAATAAAAAAAGGAAAAAAGGTGCCCAGGACTGGCCCAGCTCTGTGTGTGGGACAACCAACACAGGGAAGGGCAGGACTTTCGGCTTCCTTGTTCTGGACTCTAATCTCCTATTAACTCAACCTTGGAGCCCCTTAGCCCTCATGGACGTTGGAGCTCATTACTGACTCAGACTGAGCTTCAGGCCAGGTCATGGGCTCTGGCATTGTTTTTAATACAGGAGTAACAGAAAAGTCAGTAAGACATCACATTTATTCACATTTCTCCACCCAACTCTAGCCAGCACTGATAGAGATCCCCTGGGTGGGATTTTGGGTGAAGGTCCTACAAAGGGTGGGGGAAAAGGGAAATGCTTTGAGTAGGGCAGTGCATGGGGTAGACTGTAGGGTGAATGGTAGCACCCCAACACTGGGCAGAAATGGGAATGAGGTGGCAGGGACCAGTGCCCCCAGGCCCGCAGTACTTGACTGCAGGAAGGAGTGTTCTGAACCTTTCCAGAGGAATGGTGTCCAAGACAAGGGTAGATTCCATGGCTGAACCCCAGCAACAAGTAGCAGAGAGGTGACCTCATAGATGGTAAGCAAAAGGAGGAAGGGCCCAGCCAAAATCCCTGGCTTCTGGCCTCACAGAGGCGCAGGAGTCCTGGGTGATCAGACAGATGCGATGGGGCTCAACCGGTGGCTGGGGCTGAATTTCTAACCAGTAGCCCAGAGAGGAGAATAAATCTGACTCAAAAAAATGAAAGTATATGATGTCCAATTCCAGAGTCACTGATAGAACACACACCTGCATTCCCCTGGCTACTATGCCACAGATCTCCCCCTTCCTGACATTTGTGCTATTGATTTTGGGGACCCTGGTAAATTGCTTTGTTATTTATTCATGCTAAATTTTTCTTTTGACCCATCACATCACCCTTTTGATTTATGAGGATCCTAATTGTGGGTCATTTGTAAGCTCTTCCTCCAAGGTTCATGAATCCTGCAATTTTGGCTGTCTCGTTGGAGTCATTAATAACAGGTGGTGAATCCAGCTGAGCAAAGGGAGAGGCCAGGGCTTGCATGTGCTACCACAGGCTCCCTTCCCAGCAGACACCGACTTCCCAACCAGAAGGCTTTCTCCCACCACTTGTTCAGTCTCTCAGGAATTCGTCTAACTACACTGATAGCCAACCCGCGTATCTCTGCCTGGCTCATAGGATATGTTGGCAAATGCCTAGCTGAAACCCCAATCTGCTGCACGCTTTCTATAAGCAGTCACCCTCTCAAGAAAAAAGAAAGATGAAGCAAGGTTAATGTAGCCTAGCTGCTGACTGGCTAATGTGTACTAGCTCCTAGTGGTCCCTGCTGCCTTTTGTAAGGACCCATCAAATCTGGTCAAAACCTGTCCAAATTCATCACCAAAGACCAAGTGGCCCTCACCCATTCCGAACGTCCAATGTCCCTGCCCTGGACCCCTGGAGATCGATGAGTCTGAATTCACACTCAGACAATAAGAGAAGAATGAAACAGAGAAACCAAAGCCAGACCAGGAATGAACATTTTCTCTTGTTTTAATTAAGAAAAAGTCTAAATAAAACTTTCATAGAAACAGGGACATAAGAAAAAGGCTAAAGAAAACCTTCGTAGAAACACAGACATAATACAAATTATAATGACCTGCATATAAAACCTGGCATCAAATTTGACCTTTGGGAATATTTGTATATAAAAATATGCATGCATTAAAATCTGAGCCACTGTGGCACAGTGAAGCAGCTTAACCACCCGAGAGCAGCAACCACAAAGGCGGGTCTGGTCCATGGACGCAGGGAGCCCTTGGTCCTCCAGCTTCAGGGGTGAGCCCTAAGTGAGAATGACAAGATTTTCTGAAGGCAAAACTCTGTGTGTGAGCACCAAAATGCCACAAGCCTGGCATGGAACAAAAATGGTGCTGGAAGAATGGCAGGAGAGAAGCTCGTCCTTCATTCCCTGCTCCTGGGCTCTGACCACACTGAGGATTCCGGCTCTCTGGTAGATAAACCACCTTTAATTTTACAGGAACTTTTGCAATTTCCAAATAAGCCAACCAATTCTAACTCAAGGAGCCAAATCATAATTAGCCTGATCTGACGGATTAGTATGTCATTTTCTGCAGAACAAGACCTCGAAGTATCTACCAAAATGACTGTAACAATAGAAAAGTACAATGATGGTGGTTTCAATCTATTTCAGTCTTGGACCAAATGCAGCTGAGCAATTCTAACCCAGAAATTACTCTCAGGCAATGCAGTGAAAAGCAGCTACGATCAACACTGGAATTCCCTCCGTTTGCATGACTTCACTGAAGCTCTCGACTCTCCTTCCACAAGACAACGGTGGCTTGGGCAGAGCAGTCGATGATGCACGTCTGTCTTCAAGGAGGAAGATGCCGTTCCTTCACTGGCAGGACCTGTCACTTTGGCCGAACAGGGCTCAGGACGTTTGTCCATTGGCTTGTCCCTGTTCAGTCCATCCCACGGATGTGGGAAGGGGGAACTGTCCCTAACTCAGGTGCTAAGCTGTCACCCCAATAGTCTGGCTCCACAAATGGGAAACAGGGACACGATAGGGATGGAGGGTGGGCAAGAGGGAGCATCAGGAGAAGCAATGGTGGGGAGTCCTATGGCTCGAGTGTCCTGCAAGGACAGCAGTGCATCCATAATTTCCAGCTCCTGGTAGTTATTGAAAGGGGTGAGAGCGCTTCTGTCATTCTAATGGATTCTACAGAGGGAAAAACAGCCACCCTACTAACTTTCACACAAAAGGAGAGTGGTTTCTTAGCCACCTCCAGGGTGGGTCCTTTTCCCTCCCGGTCCCTGGCTTGCCTGTCTTGCTGCAGGCTGATCTGATACTTTCCCTCAACTGTCACATGAAGTGAAGGGGGAGATGAAGGACAAGAAAGTCTGAATCACAATTTGGGCAAAAAGCCAGGAGCCACAAAGCTGTTAATGAGGAATCTTCTCTCTCAGGCAGCACATCTCAGGACACTAGCACGGAGAGGAAGAGACAGGTGCTCCCGCGTCACCTTAGTCATTACCACAGCCCACAAGACCAACAGAGCAGCGTGACACTTCGCCTAGTACTGTGGCTCTTTCAGGACAGAGGCCGAGCCTGGCAACTCCTTCACAAAGTCTTAAGACATTTTGCATGGAACAAGGATGAACAACGCCCTCTAGTGCAAAGTATAAATAAAACAAGGACTGTGGGTCTAATTCATTTTCTGATACCAGAGTGGTTTCAAAGTTCCCCAGAGAAATGGAAAAATAAGAACAAACAGAAGAACAACAGATTATCTTTAAGAACATCATAATAATTTAAAAAAGGTAGGTGTTCACATCCATGCCTAGTACCCTCATTGCCGAATCACATTCCCTTCTCGGTGGCTCTGACCTTAATACATTCTAAGAAAGGGGGACATGTTGTGGGGGAAGCTACTGGTCCCCTTAAAGTTTGGGCAGACTGCCTACTGGTGCCAGAATAATGCCAAAGACATAGAAAAGTCCCAGCAGGAGGTTGAGCTTGGCAGTCCTCTGGGGCAGCTTGTTGAAGGCCTGGCTTCGGAACTGTCTCTCGAGAGAAAAAGCCATGGGGATAGTGAGCAGGGGCAGAGCCAGGCTGATGCTGCAGTGAATGGCCAGGATGCTGAAGACCAGGTAGGGCAGGAAGAGCAGCGTGTTGTAGAGAATGTAGGAGAAGGTGGGGCCGATGAGGATGGCAAGTGTGACAATGCCGGCCTCCCGGTCGGACTCCATGTCCCTGGTGTTGTTGGAATGGAGAATGGCCTCGGTGCTAAGAGCAAGGGGGATGGCATAGACCAGTGGAAAGATGGCCAGGGATCCCACCTGGACGGCGTAGGCGAACATCACAGCCAGCGGGCCAAAGGTGATGAGGATGATGAGGTCTCCCAGAGCCACATACTTGAATCCAATTCCTGCGGCCAGAAAACCCAAAGAGTTGGTGTGAGATGAAGGTGGGAAACTTTTCACCAGTCAAGAGGCAGGCCACCTCTGGCTGGGAACATGAATCCTTAGACCACGAGGCTGGGCACTCATTCCCTTCCTTTCCCTCCAGGGCAAAATCTGCCTGCTTCTCCAGTGACACAGGTACAGAGAGGATGCCCAGTTAAGGTTCAAGGTCCCTCCTTCCAGGCTGGTACCCAACTTTCCCTTCCTGTTGTCCCTCAACAGAGAGCACTGGGCTCCCAGTGCACACAGTTCAATGGAAGAGACTGGGAAGGATCTAATGGTCTCACAATCCAGTTTGCTCTTTTCACCCTTCCCTAACTTCTACGAGACTCTGTGAGACCAGTCCCTCACAGAAGAGCTGCCTAGTCCCCTACTTCTCTGCCTCCTTTTCTGGTTTTGAAAACTGCAGTGAATCACAGTGAAACTTCAGGGTGCCTAAAAAACCACAAAAAGAAACTTTCACCCTGAGATGAGCAAAATGGCCAGGACATAAGAGTCATGATGCTGTTTCCCTTCCCCAGTTCCCATGAGGTTAAAGCAAAACCACCCCGAACTCCCACTCCGTCCTGATATTCTACTTTGAAGTCTATCTCACTTTTGGCAAACCTGCCCATTCTCTTCATCCCATTTCATTCCAATCTCAAATCTAAACACTCTCCAAATCAATCTCTCCCCATCCCTAATCTCCACACAGCAGTTAGAGTGAGCCTTTAGAAATCGTACCCTGACCACCCTCCTTCCCCCAGCCTACACTAAGAAGTCTTAAAAGATTTATCAGCAATTCACTCTGGGGATCAAAGTCCCAGATCTTTATCCCAACTCACCTCTGGCCCTGCCTGTCTCTCCTCCCTTCCCTCCCCTGAGATTTTTTTCAGTTCCTCAGGGCCTTCAGATACCCCTCTCTGCTTGGCAAAGGCCTTCTGATCTTTTAAGACCATTCCTCAAGACAGCCTCTCCCAGCCGAGCGCAGTGGCTCAAGCCTGTAATTCCAGCACTCTGAGAGGCCAAGGTGGGTAGACTGCCTGAGTTCTGGAGTTCAAGATGAGGCTGAGCAGGAGCAAGAATCTATCTCTACTAAAAATAGAAAAAACTAGCCATGCTCGGTGGATATGCCTGTAGACCCAGCTACTAGGGAAGCTGAGGCAAGAGAATTGTTCAAGCCCGAGAGTTTGAGGTTGCTGTCAGCTATGATGCCACGTACTCTATCCAGGGCACAAAATTAGACTTTGTCTCAAAAGGAAAAAAAAAAAAAAGACAGCCTCTCCTCACTCCCTAAACCACATTCGGTCCCCCTGATCTATGACAACCTGACTGCTGCTTTCATAAACTTCTCTTGCTTCCAATTACATAATCTCTGCCTTTCCCACCAAACTGTAAGTCCCAGGAAGGCTCAGCCTGCCTCTGGCTCGTTCACGGCTCACTCCCTGATGCTTGGTGTGAGGGCTGAACTGAACACATAGTAACAAGCACCTAGAATGTGGGCTCAAAGTCAGGAAAACCTCCCAGACTGAAAAAGTAAACCAGGTGCCAGGTGCCCACTGAAGGAAGTGACCCCCACACATATTGCTACAGAAGCTTAAGAAACTCCAAATCTAACCAGGCTATAAGGTGTGGCCATAGGATCAGAAAATAAAGAAAGCTCTTGGTGATCAAGCACATTTCAATCAGCTTCAAATGATAAATGACAGTGGTCTGCAAAGGATCTAAAACCATGGGAGCCCAGCAAAGTGGCTCACACCTGTAATCACAGCCCTTTGGAGGCTGAAGCAGGAGGACTGCTTGAGCCCAGGAGTTTGAGGGTGCAGTGAGCTATGATCATGCCATTGCCTTCCGGCCTGGGCAACACAGCCAGACTTTGTCTCAAAAAATTTATTTTTATTTGGAGACAGAGTCTCACTCTGTGCCCTAGGTAGAGTGCTGTGGCATTGTAGCTCACAACAACCTTGAACTCTTGAGCTCAAGCGATTCCATTCCCTTGCTTCAGTGTCCCAAGTAGCTGGGACTATAGGCCCCAGCCACAACACCCAGCTAGTTTTTTTCTATTTTTAGTAGAGACTGGAGTCTCACTCTTCCTCAGGCTGTCCTTGAACTGAGCTCAGGCAATCCATCTGCCTCAGCCTCCCAGAGTGCTGGGATTATAGATGTGAGCCACCGTGCCCAGCCACCAAAAAAATGTGACAATAAAATAAAATAAAACGACGAGAGCCAAGGAAAAAGATTCAGCCCAAGGTTACCTCCCCATTAGCAGCTGAGGCTCCTTGGCTTTAAGACGAAGCATGCCCAAGGACGGCATCATAGTCAGGCCCCACTCCCCAACACCCAGGAAGCCACTTCTGTGCCCTCCAAATTATGTTTTGAGAAATAATTTGGTTGTCTGATGCCATCCAGGAGGAAGTTTCCACGACAGAGGATGCCAGCTCCATTTCTAAATTAGTAAACTGACGTCGCCTGCAATGTCTCTCACATTTAGGGGAATAGCCCTGCCCGAAGAAGAGGCTGGCAGGGATACTGCCAGCACAGACCTAGTAAGTGTCCTCACCAGCTGCCCTCTCTTCTTTTGCTTATTTTCTCAGCTCCCCAACCCTACTTCAGGGCTCTGGCTGTGGAAGAAAACCCAACAGTGCTACAGCCTTAATCTTTGGCTGGGTTCTTCAAGAACACCTCCTCAGGCTCGGCGCCTGTGGCTCAAGCGGCTAAGGTGCCAGCCATGTACACCTGAGATGGCGGGTTCGAATCCAGACCCGGGCTGCCAAACAATAATGATGGCTGTAACAACAACAACAAAATAGCCAGGCGTTGTGGCGGGCACCTATGGTCCCAGCTACTTGGGAGGTGGAGGCAGGAGAATTGCTTGAGCCCAGGAGTTGGAGGTTGCTGTGAGCTGTGGTGCCACAGCACTCTACCCAGGGCAACAGCTCTGTCTCAAAAAAAATATGATCTCCTCAGATCATCTGGCAAAAAGGGACATGAGTAAAGTTGAGCAGAGACCTGTGTCCCCACCTTATGTAGGTCTCACACAAAAACCAAGCACAAACCCACTCTAGAGATGAGAAAGGTCTCGTCATGTGCCCGAGGTTATGTGACACAAGAAAATGACAGTGCCCTTGGCGAGAAAACCCTGTTTCCTCACATCCAATATATGGCCCAAGGTTTGTGTGTTCTCCCAGACTCAGAGATGCAATCCATTTGAGCAGGGGTGCTCAAACTTTTTAAACAGGGGGCCAGTTCACTGTCCCTCAGACCATTGGGAGGGCCGGACTGCAGGCCCCGAACGAGTCGGCTGCTAAGCAGGACAGGCAGCGGCAGCAAAAACACCCAGCGGGCTGGATAAATGTCCTAGGCCAGCCTCAAGTGGCCTGTGGGCCATAGTTTGAGGACGCCTGCCCTTGAGAGTTTCTCTTCAGGCATTCCCACCTCTTCCAACACCATTTTCTGAATGAGCCTGCACAGTGAAATACTAATGGACCAGTTCTCACACAGCAGCCAGAACTGATTTGTTAAAACATAAATCAAAAAGTTGGCAAGGATGCAGGGCAAGTGGAGCCCTCACATAATTGAGGGTGGGAATGTAAAGTAGTACATGGGTCACCAGGAAAGTTTTGAGACAGACTGTGTTATGGTCCATTATTTCACGTCTAAGAAACAGTCCACAGCATCCTTTCTGACTATTTGTGTAAGTTTCCACTTGCTCAGCTTATCAGCGCTGCTGGGAGGGCTTTATTTGTTTCCATCTGTGAGGATTTTATGTTTCTTGATTTTTGTGTATCACAAAACTTTCATAATGACCCATGTATAATCACTCGGGGACAGCTGGCAGTTTCTTAATAAATTAAACAGTACCTACCCTATCACCCAGAAGTTCCATTCCTAGGCATTTACCCAAGAGAAATGAAAACACAAAAAGACTTGCACAGTCAGAACAGCCAAAATACGCAACAGTCCAAATGTCCTTGAACAGGAGAATGGCTAAACAAATTATGGTATATTCACACAAGGGAATGCTGCCCAGCAATAAAAGGAACTATTAATACACATTAACACAATGAATCCCTACATCATGTTGTGAAAAGAAGCCAAATGTAAGAGTTCATACTGAAATAAATTAAGATACATGCATATCTGACTAGTGCATACTGAATGGGTCCATTGATGTGGCTTTCTAGATCAGGCAAAACTAATCTATGTGAAAGAAATCAGAAAAGAACTTGCTCTGGATAGGGCAAGGAGAGTGGAACAGATGGGCAAGAAGCACAAGGAAACTTCTAGGGCTGATGGAAATGTTCTGCATCCGGATGGAGCATGGGTTATGGGTTACACAGCTGTGAGCATTTGTCAAGATTCATCAAACTGTAGCACTAAAGATCTGTGCATTTCATTGATGTCAATTATATGTCAATAGAAGTCAACTTAAAAAAACTACAGATTATGTCTTTACTCAGCTCGATGTATTTCAATGTCTTCTCATTTGTTCATTTAATAAAAATTTATTAAGTAATGTTACTTTAATGCCAGGGCCAGGTACCGTAGTTCATCCCTTATAATTCCAGCATTTTGGAAGGCTGAGGAAGGAAGATTGCTTGAAGTCAAGAGTTCAAGACCAGCCTGGGCAGCACAGCAAAACCCCCAACTTTACAAAAAAAATTTTGAAAAGAAAAAGCTGGGCATGATAGCATGCGCCTACAATCTATTATAGCTACTTGGGAGGCTGAGGAAGGAGCTGGAGGCTGCAGTGAGCTGTGACTGTGCCACTGTACTCTAGTCCGGGTGACAAAGTGAGATCCTGTCTCAAAAAAAAAAAAAAAAAAAAAATTATATGCCAGGCCCTGTTCTGAACACTAGAGGGTTAGCTAAGAATAAAGAGACAGCTGGATATGGTAGCTCACACCTGTAAGCCTGGCACTCTGGGAAGCTAAGGAGGGGAGATTGCCCGAGATCAGGAGTTCCAGACGATCCTGAGCAAGAGCAAAACCCTGTCTCTACTAAAAATAGAAATATTAGCCAGGCGTTGTGGCGGGCACCTATAGTCCCAACTACTTGGGAGGCTGAGGCAAGAGGATCGCTTGAGCCCAAGAGTTTGAAGTTGTTGTGAGCTGTGATGCCATAGCACTCTACCCAGGGCAACAGAGTGAGATTGTTTCAAAAAAAAAAAAGAGACACAGAAATCCTTACCCACAGGGGGCTCACAGTCTAAGAGGAAAGATAATTAACCAAATAAGTACTTTATATGATGTGCTAGAAGGTAATACATGATGTGAAGAAAAATAAAGCAGAAAAGAGGAGCAGGGAGGGCAAGGGGGTATAATTTTTAATAAGGCAGAGAGCAAGGCCTCACTAGGCAGTTGATGTTTGACCAAATGGTTGGAGGTCAGACAAAGAAGGAAAGAGCATTCCAAACAGAAAAAATAGAAACTACAAAGAACCTGGGAAAGGGGTGTGTCTGGCATGGTCCTGGACCAGAAAGGAGGGCCGTGTGACTAGCCCAGGGAGAGCAGGAAGAGAGGAGGGCAGGTCAGAGAGCTGCAGGGAGGACAGCGGGCAGCCAGGGAATATAAGCCCGTGGGGGTCACTGTAAAGACTTTGGCCCTTGGCTCGGCGCCTGTAGCTCAACCGGCTAAGGCGCCAGCCACGTACACCTAAGGTGGCGGGTTCGAATCCAGCCCGGACCCGTCAAACAACAATGCGGGCTCCAACCAAAAAATAGCTGGGTGTTGTGGCAGGCGCCTGTGGTCCCAGCTACTTGGGAGGAGGAGGCAGGAGACTCGCTTGAGCCCAGGAGTTGGAGGTTGCTGTGAGCTGTAATGTCACGGCACTCTACCCAGGGGGACAGCTTGAGGCTCTGTCTCAAAAAAAAAAAAAAAAAAAAAAAGACTTTGGCCTTTATGAGATGGGAGCCACTGGAGAGTTCTGAGCAGGACAGACATGGCTACCTTAGAACAGTATTACTCTGGGAGCTGATTTGGGAACAGCCTGAAAGGGACAAGGTCATATGCAGAGACCAGTTAGGAGCCTGCTGTGTATTAAACCACCCTAGTGGTTGGAGATAATGAGAAGGGGTCAGATCCCAAATGCATTTTGGAAGTAGAGTTATCAGGACTTGCTGATAAACTGAATGTGAAATGCGAGAGAGAAAAGTCAAGTGCCCTTGACTTTGGCCTGAAGAGCTAAAAGGATGAAGTTGTCACTGAACAAATGGAAAAAACTGTGGGTGGAGCAGGTTACTTTGGGGAAAAGATGAGGAGTTTGGTTTCTGTGTGGCGTCTAGAAGTTACTAAGAGGTTGAATATGAGTCGGAAGTTTGAGAGTCACCAGTTTAAGAGCTGTCATCTGAAGTCATGACACTGGCTAAAATCATCAAGGGAGTAAAGGGAGACAGTGAAAGGAGTTCCAAGGGCTGGGCCCTGGAAGTTGGGCTTTGTAAATCCAGCAGAGAAAGGCTGGGCGTGGTGACTTATGCCTGTAACCCTAGGACTTTGAAAGCCCCAGGCAGAACACCTGAGGCCAGGAGTTCAAGACCAGCCTGGGCAACTCCACGTCTACAAAATTTTTTTAAAAACTAGCCAAGCATGATAGCATGTGCCTACAGTCTCAGTGACTAGGGAGGTTGAGGTAGAAGTATCGGGTGGAGCCCAGTAAATTGAGATTACACAATGAGCTACGATAGCAACACTGTCTCAGAAAAAAAAATAAATAAATAAAAGACCAGAACAATCTAGCCCCCACCCACCTCTCCAACTATCTCATCCCCCCTCAGGCTCTCTTCCGCCCAGAACATTTGCACTTGCTGGTCCTTCAGGGCCAAAGGAGTGAGAATCACCATAATACTCCAATTCTGCCCCACGGCTGACTCCTTATCCTTCCTCCAAGTTTTAGTTTAAGTGTCATCTTCACAGAGAGGGTCTCTTCCCTTCAGCACCACCATCTTATACTTTCCATTACAGCACCCCACTGATTTCTCTTGTTGAACTTTTCACAAGTGGCTGCCAGGACACCATAGTTTCTTGCTTCTCCTTTTAGTCCCCTCTACCTGCTCTTCCTTTTCTCCTCCACCTGTTAATGTTGGAATGTGCCCCAGCGCTCAGTCCTGATCCTCTTCACTTTTCTACCAATACTCCCTCTACATTAATGATCTCACCCAGATCTCAACTTTATACGCCAATGACTCCCAAATAAAACATCTCTAGCCCAGACTTCTTCCCTGAACTTGGACTCATATGTGTATCTCCACCTATCCATTTGACATCACCCCTTGGAGATCTTAGATACTAAGATGTGCAAAGTCAATCTGATTTGCCCCCAAAACCCATTATACCCTCCACTGCCTCCATCTTGCAGTTGCTCAGGTCAAAACTTTGAGTTTCTCTCTACAGCACATCCAATTCACGACCTGGATCCAAGCCACAGAACATCTCTTACCTGGATTATGCAAGGGCTTCCTAATGTTCTTCCTGCCTCTACCCTTGCCATTCCCTAGATCCACTCTCAATACCTTAGCCTGCAATGGCTGCTCCATTTCAGTGGTCTACAAGGCTTGTATAATTTGTGTTCTGCCTCCCTATTCTCCCAAATGAAATTCTTCTGTTTCTCTTACTTACTCCCTTTACTCTCTCCCTCATTCAGACATGGACTCCACACTGTTCCTCAAGCTCTTCAGGCCTACGGCAATTGCTGTTCCCTTTTGCTAAAACACTCTTCCCCCACATACCTCCTTGGCCAACTTCCTCATCTCTCACCTCCTTCACTCTAGCTCAAGTGCTGCTTTTCTAATAAAGCCTATCCTGATCTAAACCATTTAATATAGTAATCTGTGTCCCCCTTCTTTGCTCTACATTTCCCTCCCTTAGCATTTATCATTTTACATATACTAAAGTCAGGGTGACCAAGTCAACTTGGTTTACCAGGAACTCTCCTGGCTTTACCACCAAAAACCCCACATCCTGGGAAGTGACTGGGTCCTGAACATTGGTCACTGTAACTATAATTTACTATTTTTATTTCTGTCTCTTCTCCTGATGATATGTAAGTTTCACAAGGGCAAAGATCTGTGACTGCTGTGTTCATATAAAACAGTGCCTGGCACATTAAAGGTGCTCAATAAATAGGGCTGGACCACTTTTCCCTTACTACCTCAATCAGCCTCCTGTAAGAAGTCACCTAGCACAATAGCTGGACATAATAAGCTCTATAATTTTGAGCTTTTCCAATTCAATTCTTGAAACTGTGGCATTATAAAGTATGATTAACAAAAGGAAATTAGATACAAAAAATGTTCACATATATGAATCATGCCGAACATCTGTAAGTCAAGCCAACATCTTTACAACTATTTTCAAAAAAATCATAAACATGACCCACACATTATAGATTTCAAGTAAAGTGGCCTGATTTAGAAAAGAACCTTTGGGGCGGTGCCTGTGGCTCAGTGAGCAGGGAATCAGCCCCATAAACCCAGGGTGGAAGGTTCGAACCCAACCCCTGCCAAACTACAATAAAAAGAAAAGAACCTTTGATAACCCTATAACTCCTATATAAAGCAGTAGTTTTCAGTACATACAACTAAGACCTGCAACACAGGAAACAAGCCAATTCTTACCTCCTGTGTAGAGAAAGGAGCCAGACAGGCCTCCAAAGTAGATGAGAGCCAAGTGCTCCAGCTTCAGAGGGGACAGGGAGTAGAGGCATGCGGCACAGACACAGCCCAAGGTGTACAGGAAGACTCCAAACCAAACAACATCCTGGGGCTCCAAGATTCGGTCAACTAGCGTCCTATCATCACTCTTTTTGTGGTCAATACCCTTGGAAAAGTCATAGTAAGTGTTGACCAAATTGCCAGCCCCGTGCACAGCCAGGACAGCCACGGCACAACCCACCAACAGCCTGGGATCCAGGACGCCGTGAGATCTGTATGCCAGAGCACTGCCCAGGGCCACTGGGGTGAGCGAGGCACTGAAGCTCCAGGGCCTCAAGGCCAGCACGTAGGAGGCGCACTTCTGCCTCCAGGAGCGCTGTGGTAACCTGCCCTGCTCCGGACAGTCGTTCCCCAGTGGGTCCCTCTCCCCAACCTTAACAGTCTCTGCCTCCAGGATGTTAATCTTCTCCCCCAGGGCCTCCAAGGCCGCCATGGAAGCTGCACGTGGTTGAAGTTCAACTCTTAAGTGAGCTGCCCACAGTGACCGCCCGGGGCCAGGGAGGACAGGACGGGGAGGGGCTGCAGGGCCTGACCTTCCTTTGGTTCCGCCCCGGGACAAGCCTGGTGAGGCGGCGGGGTTTGGGGATAGCAGCAAGCGGGCCTTGCACCGCACGGAGCCCGGCGGCGGCGCCGCCCTGACTACACGTCACCTGAGCAACGAGTCTCGGCCCCCAGCCCCACGCTAGAGCCAAAGGCCGAGCCGCAACCACTTGCCCCTGGCCATCGGGGCCGCCATCTTGTGCGTCGGCCTCTGGAGGACCGCCCGGAAACACCGGCCGACAGCACTGGCCCGGCCCGCCAGCGCAGGGCCGGAGGGCGGGTCTGGGCTGACGCGGGGCGGGGCCAGCTGAGAGAAAGAACCCAGTGACTTGTAAAGCGACACGCCTCTGGGCTAGTTCCTGCAACGCTAACCAAAGCTATTCCCAGGGAATCTCAGAAAGGGGCGGGGCCACGTGGCGGGGCGGGGCCGGAAGCCGGGAAGAGGCGGGGCGGCGGTCCATTGGTCCAGCCCTTCTCCCGCCTGGGACCCTCCTTGGCAGCGGCGGTTTCACTAGTTCAGCCTAAGTTTTCGATGCTAGTCAAATCCAAGGGTCATACAATGCCAAATCAGATAACATATTGGTAGAAATATTAAAATCCTGGCTCTGTCACTTACCAACCGTATGACCCAATCTCTGTATCTCAGTTAGCTCGTGTATAAAATGGGATCGACACAACTTGCCGCCAAAAAATGTTCAGGTGTCTAATGGCTGTTTAACTTGCATGTGCCATATTCTGTTTTAGGTACTTTACATGTAGTATTAACATTTAACCCCTACAACACTGCCCAACGATACAGGTACTATAATCCTTTTTGTCTTACAGATAGGGAAATAGGTACAGAAGTGTTGGACCCAAGTTTCAGATGCATTTAGTTTGGCTCCAACCTGCTTTTAACAAAATTCTTAATACATTGTAAGTACGCAATAAATACTAGTTATTATTTTAACATAATGAGTAATAAAGCTCGTGCAAACAAATCTACAAACGTACTGATTACTGTTGCTATAAAATCCTCTAATATTATTAATTAGAAAACAGGGCTTTATCAACTCTCAGTGTGGCAAAAAATCTCATATATTGCAGGTGGTAGTGAAATTTGGTACCTCCTTTATAGAAATCAATTTGATAATATTCATCAAAACTACCTGACCCTGTAATACCATTTCTGGAAATTTATCTTAGTATAGCTGCCAGGGAATAAAATGATACACATTTAAAGTCATTCACTGAAGCATGTGAAAAAGCATACATTTGGAAACAATACAAGTGTCTATCTACAGAGGACTGGAAAAATAAATTATGGTACAACCATGTGCTGGGATACTGCGAGGCTATAAAAAAACAACAAAAGAAACCAAGAAAGCTTTCTGTACATGGGATGAAAAGATCTCCAAGATACACTGAAATCTTAAAAATGCAGAACAATATATACAGTGTAACAAAAGGGGAAAACGAGAATGTTTTTATATATTTGCTTGTATTTGCATACAGAAAATCTAGGAATGCATAAATCTCAGAAAATAGGGCGGCACTTGTGGGTCAAAGGAGTAGGGCACCGGTCCCATACTGGAGGTAGTGGGTTCAAACCTAGCCCCAGCCAAAAAAAGAAAAACAAAACAAAACTGCCCTCCCCCCCAAAAAAAACCTCAGACAATAAGTAGTGAAGGGGTAAGACCGAAACTTCATAAGTACTACTCATTTGTTTTCAGATTTGATAAGTTAACATATCTCATATTAGAAAATTTAATGATATAATTTTAAATATGTGTTAAACAAAAGTGAAATTTAGAGGAACAGTTATTTCACAGAAGATGAAATGAAAAGAGCCTAAACCTAAAGTAGTAACCATAAATATTTTTAAAAACTGATGAAGTGTTTTTGGCCATAGAATATTATCAAACCTCTTTAAGCTGGCAGTTTAGGCCTTCTGGAAACTTTCGTTTCTTCAACAGACATTTCTTTTTCTTCACTGGAAATCGATAATAATGTAGAAATTTTTTAAAAAAAGGGTCTTTCCCACATCCTATTACATCTTAATTGTGTATTTCCCCCATGTAAACATAGACACATAAGAAATGTTTAGATGTTCTATAAAAAAGGGTTATACTGTGCTTACATTGTTGTATAATTTGGGATTTTTCGAAACAAATTGTGAACTTTCTCCTTAGTAAATATTCATCTACATTATTATTAATGGTCACGTTAAGTTTTCCTTGATATGAATGCATCATATTTATGAGACTCCTATTGTAAGATAATTTGGGAATTTTTAATGTTTATAAACAACACTGATAAAAAATAGAGATGTAATCCAATTCCACTTTTGCTATTGATTTTTTGAAAATTTTTTTTTTAAATGATGCTGCTTTGAAATTTTTTATTTACAAGCAGCTCTTTCAGTGAAAACTTGGCTATGGTTTCTAGGGAATTATCTTGTCAGAGAAAGTGAGAAAATCGAACTGAAACCATTTCAAATACCTATTAAATTTAACAAAAGAGAAATCACGAATCCCTACGTAGCGCTAGTGCGAAAATTGCACGTCTCTTCTGTCCGTAATTATAGTGTGCCAGCATCGCTCACACACTCCTCTCATAATTACACCGGGCGGGGTCTCCAAGCCCCGCCTACCGCTCTTGATTCCCATCCCGAGGTACCCAGACAGCGGACTCCGCATGGCGGTAGACAGGATGCATAGGGGAATCGTAGTAACGATGCACCGGATGTGTGAGTGGAAGTGACAGACGTCAACTCACCACCGATTGGTTCTTCCGGATGGATCTAAACCTCCTTTCGCCTGCCACTGGCCGCGTGGTTTGTCTATTTGGACAATCCCCACCCCTTGGAAAAGCCGGGTCCTTAAGCTTCACTTCTCTTTAGTTACTATTGGTCCGTAACCCGGTCCATCTTCTTTTTACGCCTGTCGATTGGTTAGCTGGGCTGGGAGCTGCCTTCCTTCCCGCCCAGCTTAGAGGACAGCGGGGAAGGCGGGTGGTGGGGCCGGGGGCCTGAAGCCGCGATACCGGCGCTGGCGGCGGCAGCTGAGGCCTTGGCCGAAGCCGGGCGGTGAGTCTGGGGCCTGGCACTACCCCTCCAAGGCAGCAGAATATCCACACCCACGGCCGGCCTGTCGCGGGGAGGGGGGCCTGGAAAGCCGCCCGTCTGGGACATGAGGTACCCTCAGTACTGGCCCCACGGTCTGGGTACTGTTTGAGCTCTTGACCTCCACCCTGCGAGGCAACGCCCACCTCACCGGGATCTCCAGGAGACCCCTGGACCCTTCAGCTCACCATCTGTCCCAGGCGTCAGAAGGCCGGCCCATCACCTTCGGTACTACCCTGGAACCTTTGGTTCTCCTTGCTTGACACAGGCACTTCTTCCGAGCCACATACAAAATGTGGATTCCTGCCTCAGGGAGCACCAACGTCAGTGTCAGCCCGTTGCTCTCCACCCTGGAGACCTCTCACTGGGGACCCAGTACCTGGAACTGAGCTGTGTTCCATCCTTGGGGTTCATTCTGTTTGCCTCACCCCCGCCTTCATTCCTTGTTACTGCCATCCAACTTAAACTTCCCTAAGCCCTTACAAGACCCCTAGAATATTTGACTTCAAGTGGTTTAATTGAATTCGTCCTGGAGCAGGTCTATGGTCCTTACACCATAGAAAGAGACTGGTTCTTTCTTGAGAATAGAGAGTTTTTGCCAGCCACCTTCTCCCTCCACATGCACACAAACTATAGTACCAGTAGTTTTCTTACCCGGGATCATTAGGTTTCTTCTCCCCTAAAGGATGACATGTCTTTCTGCGATCTTTTTTTTTTTTTTGACACCAGAGTATTTGAAATTGTCCCCAAACCAATTATTCCCTGATTTTTCATCTGCCTCTTACAAATTCGTTAAAAAGTAAGAAGTTTTGTGTAAAGTCAGTTTGCTAATATAATCTGGACCTACTTAGAATAAGTACCTGTGTGTGTTACTCCTATGGCAGTGTGAGCTGAGCCCTATTATGGCCACTTTATTCTGGTTACCTCGTTATTTGTATTTAGCCCTGGGTTATAACCTCGTTGATGGAAGGAATAATACATAATTGAGTAATGAATGAATGATTTAAGAAACTAATTGGTCTTTCTCACTTTATGTTTGAAAAACTAGCACTCTTCTATAGAACTGCATTATCCAATACATTAACGATCTGCTACATGTGGATATAGGGTACTTGAAATGGGACTCATGCAAATTGAAATTTACATGAGTGTAGAATGTAAACTACATTTAAGTGTAAAATGCACACTACATTTTGGAGACTCAGTACAAAAAAAAAGAATGGAAAATATTTTTTATATGATGACATGCCAAAGTGACTTTTTGGATATATTGGGTTAAATAAAATACATTCATTTCACCTTTATCTTTTTACTTTGTTGTTTTTGTTGTTGCAGTTTGGTCAGGGCTGAGTTCAAACCTGCCACCCTTGGTGTAGGGGGCCAGTGCCCTACTCACTGAGCCACAGGCGCCACACCATTTTTACTTTCTTAATATAGCTACTAGCAGATTTAAAAATGCATTTGTGGGTTATATTTCTGTTAGTGCTACTGTAGAATAATCATTAGTCTCCCTCTTTAGATTGAATTCCTTGAGGAAAGGGACAATATTAGTCATTTTTAATTCTTTTCCTACACCCCCACCTTTGTTACCTGGCATTGTGCCATGTACATAGTAGTTATAATGAAAGTAGCTAACAATTATTAAGTACTCACTTTGTGGTCAGCACTATTTTAAACACTTTTTAAGATGTACTAACTCATTTAATCCTCACAGCAACCTACAAGTTGGCTACTATTTTCTTCCTAGTGTAGTTGAGGAAACAGAAATTTCGAGTGTCTTCCTCAAGGCATGTAACTTTGCAGTGGGATTCAAACCCAGGTAGGCTTGCTCCGTGGCCCACAATTTGACCCTCCCGACTATACTGTCTCTTCTTTTTTTGTTTTTTAGCACAACATCTTTTAAACATCAGTCATTGTTGAATGAATCTAAGCTTTCTAAAGGTTTTTAGTGAGATCTCTCAATGTTTTTAGAGTCCTGTACCTGACATGGGCCGGGTGATCTGTGTTATGGAACTGGGGCCATAAATAAACTTATTGGCGTAGTTTGCCATCCAGAATATTAAAGGAAGCTTCTCTCTAAAGAACCTCAGGGCAAGATGCTTGG